CATCCTGCCTGTCCCTGTCCCTATTCCATCTTGCCCCCATCCTGCCTACCCCTGCTTTGCACTCATCCTTCCTGTCCCCCGCCTTTTGTCTGTCCCCAAACTGTTCTGGACTCATCCTGCCTGTTGCTGTCCTCTGTTCCAATCCCATCCTATCCCCATCTTCCCTGTCCCCACTCTGCCCTGTCCTCAACTGGACTGGCCCACTCCTATCCCTCCCCACCCCATTCTGTCCCCATCCCATTCCTGTCCCCCTCCTATATGTCCTCTGCTACCTGACCCCACTCTGTCCTGTCATAATCCCATCCTGTCCCCATCCCATTCTGTCTTGTCCCTATCCATCCTCTCGCAGTGGGGTGAGGGTGGCAGGTTGGAAACATCCCACTGAGTTCCCAATCAATATGTGGACACTCACTATGGAAAAACTCTTTTTAGGAAAAAACCCTGTTGGAGTAGGTGCTCAGGTGCCCTGTCTGTGGGGACAGCACCACAATGGCACCCCAAAATATCCCCAGCCCCTGGAACTCCAGAGCCTCCCAGGGAAAATGGGCCAGAACTGGCTGAATTCCCAAAAGCAGGGCCAAGAGAAGATGGGAAATGTGGGTTTCCCAGGGTGCCTGTGCTGAGGGGCTATGAGGGGCCAGCCCTGTTCTCCACCATGGGGGGGATGGGTGCAAAGACACGATGGGTGCAGGACTTTTCCCAGTTTTCTTCCCCAATACTAGCTGGATTTCACCTGCTTTGGGAGGACTTTATTTGCAAGTAGCAGGGGACTGTGAGGTTGCTGTCGCCATCAGGATGCCACAACCTATTCCTATGGAGCAGAGTAAAAAACTCCCCGCAAGACTGGAGTTCTTTTTCCTATGGGAATACAGGCCCAAAGCAGGCAAGAGGAAGAAAACAGGATTAAAAAAATGAGAATTCTCTCTGCCACATGAGGGGGACACAGAAACTGGAAACATTTTTAACTTAAATCAAGACTTTAGGGGACTTCTTCCTCAGGGAACCAGCTGCTCTCGGTGGCAGTTTTTTGCTGCTACCAGGTGAAAAACGCCGATTTTTGGAGCAGCAGCAGCATTTTGGGTGCTGTGCCAGCACCCCTCGGCCAACCTGCAGCAGATTGTCCACCACCACCACCGGACTGGGTGATTAAAAAGCAATTATTAAATATAAAATTAAGCAAAAGCTACGCGATGCTGAGCCTCTGGAGCATCCAAAACATGCTGGTGAGGTCTGGACCAGGATGCCAACAGTCAGGAGTGACCCTCTTGAGTAAAATAGGCCCGTTTCAGGAAGCCTTGAGGTTCTGATCAGAGGAGTCCAGGGTGAAGAGGCAGAAGACGATTTCCTCACAGGCACTGGCAGTGCCGCACTCGAACAAGCAGCCGAAAATTCTGCCAGGACACACGGCCAGGTCGGAATACCCGGCGGGCCCCGCGTGCAGCACCCACGGGCGCCGC